AATCCTAAAATTGTCCCGAAAGTGCCACGCCAGGTCCAGAAAAGTGAAATTTGAGCAGATGCGCTCAAACGGAAAAACTCCGTTAACGAAAAGAACCAAAATGAGAAAATATGAGCAACAAAAAATGGCGTCAAAAATCGAGTCCCGAGCAGAGAGATATGCCCCGAATAAATTTAGCGGCAACTGGGGCTAAAAACCCTAAAACTGGGGAAAAACAACCGGAAGACAATTCGAAGAGTACATGACTCAATGAAAAGTGAAAATGAATCCCATACGAGGATCCAAGCTCAAAATGAGGCATTTTTGCAATAACTTTCGTTGATTGCACAATGACCCCTCCAAAAAGCGTTAACTGCACTAATGACCTAGAATGAAAATATCTTTCAAAAATATTTTCTTAAAAACCGCTGAAATAAAATATCTTCAAAAGATATTTATGAAAAACACCCCAAGAAGAAAAAAAAAATTCTGAAAAACTATGCATCTATGCCCCTATGGACACCGGGAGCAACCAGAGTACTTTACTGCAAAATTAAAGATATGTATTTCGTGGAAACCACTTAGAATGAAGATATGTGAAGTCAAAAACCAACTTCGAGCACGAAAAGTGAGGTTGTGCCAAAAAGTGACAAACGGGGAAAAGACAAAATAGGAAAAATGACGAAAAGTGAATAGTGTCGAAAAACGAAAAATGTGGAAATGACTCGGTCCTTAAAGGAAATTGTCAATCCAAAGGAAAGAGTCTCAGAAACCATTTTCGAGCACTCGAGAGGACACTAAGTGATGAAAAACCAAACACAATAAGAAAGACAACGGAAAAAATTTATCCGCAAAATTTGAGGAAAAATGAAAGGAAGAAAATGATCGGGTTATTACAACCTTCCCACCTTAAAAGGATTTCATCCCTAAAATCCAGCCCCAACAAACAAAAGACGAAACCAGGATAACTATGGAGTACATCTCCGAGTATCCCACACAACATGTTACGAAAGCAATCCCAAAACTGAAAGACAACGCACAAACTAATGTCATTCGCACCCACATGCTTACGACAGGACAACCCCTCAAAAGAAAAGTGACCATACGGCCACATGAAAAGTCAAAAGGTCGCATACAGAACCCAAGGTTAGACAAAGAAACGGAAAGCAACAACCGTAAGCATTCCTCCTGATGAACCATCATACCGATCCAAAAATAACCATCAAAAGAACTCCAAGATAACCACGTATCAAATCAGGGTACAGAACAAAGACAATGTGGCAGTACGAATAGCGACCAGAACCCGCCTACGACGTACTCAAATGTGTGGTAGCAATGACAGTACCTAGTGCCCGCCCACAATTACTCATCAGTAAGGTAGCATCGATGCAACTAGCACCCGCCCACAACACACAACTTGTACGGTAGCATGACAGTATAAGGCACTAGTTCATAACCTGCCCCCACTAGGTCTACCCATGAAACCTCTCAATACAAATGACATCAATGTCGTGAATCATCATTACCAAAAGCAATCCGGTGACTCGGTATCCCGTAAGAGTTGAGACATGGTCCAAAGACGTCGACATCCCGGCCACTCTCAAAACCCTAATGACTATGCTATAGGTACCTTCTGGCTTAAGGTCTCAATCCTTAATACAACAAAGCCAACAACTCCAACGTCTCAAAACACTCCTATTAACAACATAGACACGTTTAAACCCCGTTACAAATAATAAATAGTCACAGGTAACCCCCTTACCACAATAACAAAACACAGGTCCCTCCTGTTACTACACAATAAAGGAACTTAAACATTGGACACTCTTTCCGTGACTTACACCTTAAAAGGACCGACCATCAACCATTAACCTTAAATGATCTCTTTCACACACTTGTGACCTTTATCACACATAATAAAGCATATGAAATGAATATATTCCAAACTAAGATCACCCACATCTCAATCATAATTATAAAATTTAATCATCATTACACGACAATTACTTTAGAGAGAAATAGTTCATGTAAAATATACAAACAACTTACACATATATAATTTATCATTCATATAGTGAATAGTTCATCCTTAGAACATAGAAATTACCTAGGCATACATTCTTATTCACTTTAACATGTAATAATCATCATTAATCATGCTTTTCTAAACACTTAAACTTTAAGCAACATAACTTCCACACAAAGACACATAGTGGCATGAAGTTTGGCAACTTTATTATCAAAAAGGAAAGCAAATGATCACATTAATCATGCTTGATTCAACTCACCAATGCCAACATATTAATTGTCTCAATTTCAACACCAAGCAAGCCTGATACCAACACATACTAAAAAATAAAGACTAAGGCTATATCAATTACGTAATTTAGCATGCTACATTAATACGAGGAAGAAGAAGGTGAATAGTGGCCCTTAGTTTGCCAAACATTCATATACATAGTCCCCTCTCAACTTCCCACTAATTACATCATTTAACCCCAATGTCTATAGCTAACTACTTCCTTCCTCCAAGTAACTTTCAAAATAATTCTCTAAGGCAATGATCCACCGAAAATATAATAATGATGCTCTCCAATGATTTTTCATTTAAGTCCTCGCCATTTCCGCACTCTCGGGCTACCCCGGACCCACACGGGACCTCCCGGTCCAAAACCCAAAAATATCCAAATTGAATCTAAATGAGTTTCTAAGGGTTCCAAGCTCGAAGAAACGCTCCAAATAACTCTTGGAATCCCATGGCATGAGTCCCCATGCATAAAAAAATAAGATAAAATAAAATGACAAAAAATTTGAAAAATACAAAAAAAAAAAATAGAAAATGAAACTGGTCATTATTGTTTGACGGATGGACATTTTCAAAAACAAATAAACAAACAAGGAAGAAATAGGTCGTAGCTCACTAAGATGTGTTGATGGGCGAAGTTCATGTTAGTTTAACCCGCAGCGCGGAATGGCAATGTCACAATCTATGTATGGGTGCTACCTTGTTAGCACTCCGTGTTGATGCCTTAAACGAGACCCTTGTCATGGATAAACCCCAACAAATGCTGATGCCTTCAAGGAGACCAGTCATGGATGGACCCCGATGAGGGGCAAAGTAAGTCATAGGAAGATTCTCGCGGTCGATGTGGGGTATAACCTCGCGGGGTTGGTCCTCGAATGGGTACTAAGGTATTAGCCTGGTGATTGAGTACTAAAGGGCAACTTAGGAACGCCCTCCGTGAGGCTGAGCCTGAAACGTCTCTCAGCCCGTCATATGGGAAGGAAGAGGAGAAGCAAGTTAGGAGTGTGAATGAGTAAGCACTAGTTATCCAAACTTAGTTTGTCAGACCAACCAATTAGAGCATGACAACCTATAGTCAACTAGACTATTAACCGTTTTGTTATCACTTGGACTAGTGGTCTTTACCCAACCATGGAGTAGTATAAAAGGAGTGAATGACTTGAGGAATAGTAGTTGGAAAAATTGAAGAGAGCTAGAACCAAGTGTACTAACTATAGAGGAGAGATACCTTTTCCTCACTCCTCCATGCAAGGACCCCTTGTGACAGCACAATAGGGCAGCAAATGAACCGAGCCGAGCCGAGCTTTAGGTTGTTTGGGCTCGGCTTGTTATCTCCATTACTATGCTCGGGCTCGGCTAGGGCTCATGCAAGCTTGGATATGCCAAGCTCGAGCTTGGCTTGATAAAGTTTTCACAAGCTCGAGCTCAGTTACATACAAACGATCTCGAATCCTTGTAATCTAATCTCTATAAGAATAAAAAAATAAAAATAAAAATAAAAAAGGAAGAAATACAGGGCATAGTTTCAGCATGAAATCAAACCTATAGACACAATAAGGAACAAATTGCCATAGTGAAACCAAACCTGATTTTATCGACTCGATCCATATATATTTTGCACTACTTACGTTAGAGAGAGAAAGAGAGGGAGATGGGGTTGTGGAGGGTTGCTTGAGAATTCATGCAATTGAGATGTTCCATTAGAGAGAGAGAGAGAGAGTTTTGCCATGAATAACTGGCAAAATCATGCGGTGGAGGCTGTGGAGCTTAAGATAGCCGTTGCTCACTTCTTCTCATTCTAGGGTTCTTTTTCTTTTAAGATTTGCAAACCAACAGCTGAGATGAACTAAAATCTAATGGTTGAGATGAATATTTATTTAGAGATGCGCTTATGGGCTATAGAACTAAAACTCTTTGGGCCTCATTAGTAAAATGAAATAAGTTGGGCCTCCTTGTACTCATATGGGCTAAACAACCTTTTATATGTAAAATGGTAAAAAATACAATTGGACCTTTATGTAAACGAGCTTGTTCACGAGCCGAGCTCAATGTTGCTCAAGTTCGGCTCGTTTACTAAACGAGCTTGAAAGTCAATCTCAAGCTTGGCTCATTTGCTAAACGAACAAGTCCAAGTTAAGCTAATTTTAACGAGTTGAGCCGAGCCCGAGCTATTCATGAACAACTCGATTTATTTGCAGCCCTACAGCTCAGTACTCCCACCTACGCCTTTATTTATTGGTATTCTAATTACTATTGAAATGATTCCTCGTATCATAGAACTTGAAATTAACATATTTTATACAACTGGAACGTGTTTTTGTTTTCTATTTACTTTATTCCCTTAAACATAGCATTGTGTTTCAATTAAATGGTAGTTCTTTAATTTTGTTCCATGCTATTAACAACAATAAATTACACTACATCTACATCTATATCTTTGGAATTTTTAAGGGGTTTTTTATTTTTATTTTTATTTTTTTTATGAGTTATAGATGAAGGCATTTCTTCCTTAATTTTGTTTAGTAAGAATAATTTTCACCATAACTTTTGTCTTGGTACTGTAATGTACAATTCAATTCAATATTAAATTCTGAATAAGTTAAAAATTTATTAATTGGGTGCATTTAATGAAATAATATAAATAGCATAAAATAGAATAAACATAGTTGACGGAGAATTCAATTACTACTGAATATTGAACATTTAATTTATTTTTTTCTTAAAAAAGTATTAAAGAGTTCTGAATTTATATATACAACAAAGTCGATTATTCTTGTTCAGGCTCTATGTTGAAGACTTGAAGAGAGACGTTGGAAAGTTTGGAATTTCCTAGTGTGTGTGTCATAGTACGTTACCAAGTAAATGATGTAAATAGAGAAAAGCTTCTATCTTGTTATGAGAAGCTTGGGGTCTTCTCTTACTTTAAAGCGGAAACAATCTTTGCTCTTTGCCAATAAATTTTCCTTCACTCAATCATTGTTCAAACGTAAACACCAACTATGCACCTCACAATCCTGCTTTTCTTCCTACACTCCCATTGTGGACAAAGACAAAGCTTCACTTGTCTCCGCACTTACTTTCTCCGCAAACTCGAAGTCTGTTATTCTTGGAAGCCAAGTTCATGGCCATATAGTTAAGTTAGGTTTCTCAAATGACACATACTCACTAAATAATCTGATTAAAATGTACTCATATTGTGGAGTTTTGAGTGAAGGACTTCGGGTGTTCGGCGAAATGCCTGAGAGAAACCTTGTTTCTTGGACTCTGATTATTTCCGGCGCAATTCAGAATGATGATTATAAAATGGCCCTGGGAGTGTATCTGGACATGAAGAGAAGTGGGTTGATGCCGAATGAGTTTGCTATTGGCAGTGTGATGAAGGTGTGTACTAGTATGGGTGCCACTGAATTGGGTTTGTGTGTGCACTCTTTTTCTTTGAAAATTGGAATGGAAAAAAACCCATTTGTGGCTAGTTCTGTTCTACACATGTACGCTAATTGTGGGATGATTGAAGCAGCCAAGCGGGTGTTTGAGTGTATAGATGGTTTGGATACAGGTTGTTGGAATGCTATGATTGGAGGATATGTGCAATGTGGCCACGCCTATGAAGCATTGCAGACTGCTTCTTTGATGCATTGCAAAGGAATGATTATGGATAGATTCACCTTCATTAATGCTCTTAAGGGGTGCTCGGTTGTTGGTGATCTAAATTTTGGAAGACAGGTTCATGGATTGATTGTTCAGAGCAACGTAAAACTGAATACTTCAGTGATCAATTCTCTTATGGATATGTATTTTAAAAATGGTGAAAAGAGCCTTGCTTTGAAGCTTTTCAGTAAAATGCAAGATAAAGATGTTGTCTCATGGAATACTATGTTTGCAGGCTATTCTCATGATGTGGATGCAAGAGAAGCTGCAGGTTTGTTCAATAATTTTATGTGCACACCCTTGAAGCCTAATTATGTTACTTTCTCCGTCTTTTTTCGACTATGTGGGGAGGGCCTTAAACTTGATCTAGGGCTTCAGTTTTTTTCTCTTGCTTTTCGTTTTGGATTTCATGGTGAACCACATGTTGTGAGTTCGCAAATTAATATGTTCTCTAGATGTGGGGCACTGGAAATGGCACGTGTAGTGTTCGACAGTATACCTTTTAAAAATATAAACAATTGGAATGAGATGATATCTGGGTATAACTTGAGCTGTGACTTGGAAGCCCTTAAGCTTTTCCGCATCTTGTGGGAGTTTGGAGTTGAAGCAAATGAGTGTACCTTCTCTAGTGCCTTAGAAGCTTGCTCTAAGACTGGCAAAGTAGAAATGGGTAGACAAATCCATGGCGTTATAGTTAAATCTGGCTTTGCCTCGCATGGATATGTCTGTGGCTCATTAATTAAAGGTTATGTAAAATTCAGACTTTTAGATGATTCTTTCGAGTTCTTGGATGGGCTTGAGAAGTTAGATATGGTATCTTGGGCTGTTATGATTTCTACCTTGGTGCGTCAAGGCTGTATCTGTGAAGCTATCAACATACTAAACCGTCTAAAAGAAGGTGGTGAGGAACCTGATGAGTTTATCCTGGCCAGCATTTTTAATGGTTGTGCAAGTATTGCCTCTCATCATCAAACTAAATCTGTTCATTCACTAGCTATCAAAATAGGATTTGAGACAAATGTATTTGTTGCCAGTGCAATTATAGATGCTTACGCAAAATGTGGTAACATTGAAAGTGCAAGGACTGCGTTTCATCAATCATCCAGATTTCATGATGCAGTTCTTTTTAATACTATGATCATGGCTTATGTCCATCATGGTCTTGTTAAAGAAGCTATGGAAATGTTTGAGAAAATGAAGTTGGCTAATCTACAGCTAAATGAAGCCACTTTTGTGTCGGTTATATTGGCTTGTGGTCATATGGGCGTTGTTGACCAAGGCTGGAATTTCTTCAAATCTATTACTGTAGATTATGGGATGGAACCATCACCTGATAATTATGGTTGCTTAGTTGATTTGTTGTCAAGAAATGGATTCCTTCAAGAAGCTATTTGTGTAATCGAGGCGATGCCTTTTCCACCTTGGCCAGCTATTTGGAGATCTTTGCTTAATGGTTGTAGGATACATGGGGATAGTGTGTTGGGAAAGAAGGCTGCTGATAAGTTACTCCAATTGGTTCCCAACAATGATGCAGCCTATGTATTGTTGTCGAACATTTATTCTGAAGATGGTAATTGGGACAGTGCTGCAAAGGTGAGGAAGGGAATGATAGCAAAAGGAGTTCGAAAAGAATCAGGTTGTAGTTGGGTTGAGATTCAGTAGAAGGTCCATATCTTTTGACTTGTAAGCTTCTAACTGACTACATTTCGGAAAAGCTAATTGAATGCTGATGATACTAATTTCCATCAATAACAAGTCACTGGTTGCTGTAGTGAAAGGTTCTAGTCTCAACATATGAAGTGAAGGTATTTTTATACTTTGATGCGCTTATGTTTTTGGTTCAACCTCTCTCTCCCCTTATCTTTGTTTTACTATTGTCTTGCTGTATGATCTTCTTGTGTTGCCAGGCAGGGAATAATCATGCATATTTTTCTTTATTGTAAATCTTCTTCTCCAGTGTTCAGGAAAACCATATACTGGAAATTTTCTCAGAAAGCTCCATGATGTTGTGCTACAGCTCAAGGATGCAGGTATTAGGCATAATAATGTATAAAGTCTTCAAATTAGGGAATCTTTAGTTAATTTTGTAATGCCCCTTGTCCACTCTCATTTATCTCATATTATGGTAAATATGCTGTAGTAATGAAATTAAAGATGGCTCAAGTCACTGTGCATGGGGTAGTCAAATGATAAATTTGAACAGTGTGAAACACTATGAAACATTGATCAATATTTGGATCTGTATATCTACAAGGTACCAGGCAATCAAAATTTATAAGATATTAAATTATTAGTAATATATAGACCTTTTCTTATTTATAAAATCTCCACATTCAGGAAGAAAAAAAAAGTAATATATAGACCTTGACTGGAGGTTTGTTTAAGGGAATGATAATTAAGGTTTTGAGCACTAGACAGTTCATTTGTATGGCTGTTATTAACTTGTCACATTTGTTTTTTAGGGTCAATTGTTCCAAATGATGCAACAGTGAGAGATCAGGACAACAGAATTAACCTGTCAAATGAATCTCAATATTCTAGAAGGTCATGCTGCAACAACTAAAATGTACCTGGCCATTAGGAGTTGTTCGGCTATTGAGGTTTGACCATGTTAGCTAGACATCTATTTGTCTATATTTTATGACAGTTATTCGTATTCTTTTACCTACTTCTCCATTCTAAATACAGCATATAAATATTTTTTTTTTCCTAGTTCAGCATATAAATTTTCTTCTACTGTAAAATATTTTATTTCAAGATAATTAGTGTTTTAGTTAAGATTCTCTTTAATCCAATAATTTGGTAGTGTATTAAGATGGCTACACAAATTTCTCTTCTATAATTGTTCCACTTTTATATCAGTTTCATGGTTGGAAATGACCAGCAGAATAGATCTAAGACACTTGGGATGGATTGTTTTGGTCCCTTCTAGATCCTTCATGACAAAGAGACTGGATTACTAGACTTTCTCAATTGACAACAACACATGTCATTATCAATGAGTAGATGTTGTCTAAGTATAATCCATTTAAATTTTGATGAAAATATATTTGAATGCCTAATCAAACGTGATGTTCCAATTTTGAGATGCATTCTTGAGGACATTTATTATATGAAACTCACGTACAATATAGTGTTGGCTCTTTGCAATCAACCTACCTGTATGCACCAATTAGATGTCTTCCACAAGATGAATACTAAAATATATATTTAGATAAAAAAAATACATTATAACATCTATTTGTCCAATTTTATGATCAAAATAAAGGCTAATAGATTAGAGAACATGAATAGACTGGAGCATGGTTATCAGAAAAAAAGTTACCTCTTAATTGATACCTTGTCTGAGTAGATGTTTTTGTAGTAAGCTTAGATTCCTTAGAATTATGTCTTCTCTTCCTCTTGCAGAACTATTTGAACAGTGTTAGTTTGACACTTGTTGGTGGCTTTACATGTTTCTAGACTTGGTAAAATACATAATCTCTATCTCAGCCTTAATTGGTGTTTGGTCAATCTTTTAAGTCACATCATTCATAGAAAGATTGGAGAAGCATATAAACCTTTTTATTTGGAAATCCATAAATATAGGATGAATATAGTATTAGAAAACTAAACAAGTGACAGAGTTGCAGAAGTTAGGAGACAGCAAGAATGATTAAAAAGATAAAGTAGTATTAAAAATGCAAAGTGTTTATCAGTTTATGCAACAGATGAACATATAAAGAAGATTTTTCTAGGGTCAATAAATAAACAACAGAATCTACACTAATCATGAAAGTAAATTTATATAAGGTGATTTCGATGGATATGCAGGAGCTGATCGAACATGAATGTTGAAAAAACATTGGTTTTCAATGGCTATAATACCAAGTGAGAGATGCAGGGATTACAATATAATTGGACTTTGTTTTAGCTCTAGAACCTAGAGCACGTAAACGCTTGCGAAGACTCAGTTGCTGACCACCTCGGACTTACTCTTGTTGATCCAATTAGTGCCTTTAAGCCCAGTTGTTGATGAAGCCTCAATCTTGCATCTGAATCTGCCAAGTCCAGTCATTGATCTGTCAATATAATAACCTTCTGATGACCTTCACGAACAGTGATTGTTGCTCCAAACAACCTTTTAGTGTTTATACAAGTAGAATATGATGACGACGATAGTTGATCAAAATTTTGATTTGCTGTTAAAACTTTATGCAATCAGCCCAATCTCACAGTCCTATATGGGTAATCTATATGATCGTAACTATGTGAAAGATGAATGCATAAGCCATGTTTCTCTCACAGATTTGATAACAATTAAATTCTTAATTCCTTATGCTTCTTCATTTCTTGGAAACCATGTTCCAAGTCCTTTAAATAAACTTAGGAGTTAATTAAGTTGGAGTAGGTAGGTTAGAGTTTGTTTTGGAACTGGAAAGTTTCAAGTTTATCAGAACTTTTGAAGAGCATAATGGTGCACATTTTTTGGATTTGAATTTCTTTAAAGCACAAGGGCTATCGCCTAGTGATACTTCCTCACCTTCTAAAGTAGAAGGTTGAGAGTTCAAGTCCCCATAGGGGCAAAATGGGTGTGTGAGTGTGTTTGTAATGTTTCTAATTTTTACCATTTTCTATTTTCGGGAATTTTCTGATTTTTCGAGGGTAATTTCATCTTTTCTTGTTTTACGTGTCAGACATCGTGGGGTGTGCCAGGTGTATCAAAGTGTCGATTAGAACATTTCCTTGAGTTCAGGACTCTCGAAAATGTATTGGTAGCCATTTCGACATTTTTCTATTTTTCGAACCGGGAGTCCCAGGTGGGACCCGCTACCGGGATTGTTGTGCACGAGGGTTGTGTCACGAGGTCATTGCATTTCATGCATTGTTATTTTATGTATAATTTTATGGTAGTGTGTATGATTGTGTGGTTGGGATTTAATTGGATTATATACACATATTTATTTATTTTCATAGTTGATACTCACACAAACATGCCTCCTTGGAGATTTGAACCCTTGACCTTCATTTGGAAAATAAGGGCCTAATACCGCTAGGCACTGGCTCGTTGGTTACACATATATTTATATTATTAAAAAGGGAGATATTTTGTGTGGGACCCACCATTAATTCCTTTAATGGCCTTAAGGCCATTTAGCTCCTCAGATTCTCTCTCTGTCTCATGCAATTCTCTCTCTCCCTCGTAGTTCATTTTTTCTTTTTCTTTTGCCATCAATTCAAGCTTGATCTTTCACACACCTTTGAGAATTTATTATTGCCGCTTAAGGCAAAGTTGGAGAGCTCGTCGAGGCCGTCGTTTTGATCGGAGCCAATCTCCATCTGGCCACCAATTGGGAATTCGAAAATTGGGACATTTTGGGGCTTTTCTTCTCATTTGAGGTAGGGGTTTCTAATATACAACTTCTTTGATTTATGTGAGCTAATTCCTCCTAAATTGTTATATAGCATGCTTAATTTGTGTTACTTTCGTGTAAAATGGCCTATTTATTGTATATGAAACATGTGACTATGTGTTAATTGAAATTGTATGTAAAAGCATGCTTAAGTGATGGTATTTCATGCTTATTGTGTTTAAAGTGCTAGATTTTGTAATATGGAAGCATGTCAATTATTTTTTAGAAATTCCCTACAAGACTTGTATATTGTGAATGCTCGACTCGTAAAGTGTGAAATTCTATCTTGTCATAGCATTGGAAAGCATGAGGCATTCATGCATATCATTGGGCATGAAATGGGAAAATTTGCCTTGAAAGGAAATGAAACATTTTGGAAAAAAGTTTCGAACAAAGGTTTGCAAAAACCGATCGCTTACGAGTTGCCTAAGGTCCGCGGCGTTAATGGAACCTAGAGAGAACTAGTGGGACTGCCCTAGTGTGGTTGAGTTACCTGGGCCCCAAATGACGCCATGGAGTTGCCATGGTTCAGGGATAGTTAGCCAATCCTTCTCTCGTATCGCCATGGAGTTGCATGGGACGGGTTACGTTAACGGTTTGGAAGTGATGATGGAAAAGGTTTTGGAAATAGGGAGCGACATTGCATTCCATAGCACGGCATGGCTCGTTTACAGTTTTGAAATGTTGTGTTGATTTTGTTGTTAAGTTTTCCCCCGGTATTACATGATCCCGTTTTTCCTTATTTTCTATTCATTGTATGGATTCATGGGGTCACAAGAGGTGTGTCTTAAGAGCCTCCTACTGAGCGGTTGACTCACCCCCTTATATTATCATTTTCAGGACATGGAAAGGAAGTGACAGACGACAATCCACCACAAACATAGTCGGGTTGCAAGAGACTTGGGCATTTTGTTGGGATCAAGTGTATATTATCTTTTGTTATAAATCATGTTAAGTGATATTTTTTATCTAAACCATGGATGGAAATGGTTTTGAGACTATCTTCATGATCTCATTGTGATTTCAACATCCATGTAAGGCCTTAAGGCCATAATTTTAATGTATTACAGACTTGTTTAAGTTTAGACAATATAGTGGACTCATGTATGGTTTCATTTGAATGTATTGGTACCTAGTTATGTTGATTTCATTGTCATACCTATGATTTGGGACAGTTTTGGACTTTGAATAAGGTCACCGATGGACCTAGGGAGTGCCCATATATATGTGTCTTAGTTTTAGGCCTTTCTGGGTAAAATTTTTAAGTTCTGGTCATCTGGAACCGGTTCAGCCTCATTGAACTGGTTCAAGGGTGTAATTGGTTCACGTTTGGGCATTCTGCCCATGTGGAACCGATTCAAGGAATTGGGAATGTAACGACCCAAATCCTCATGGATCCGGATCATTAAACGGGTCCTTACCCGACCCGGAATCGTCCAACGGTAATACGGTCCTTTCATGTTAAATTTAATTATCATGGTTCAAAAAGGGCAAGATGGTAATTTGTTACAATTCAAGTAGTTTGAGATTCCAAGGGTATAATAGTTATTTACTTGTATCACGTAATAAATAAAATAAGGTCCGGGACAATATAGTCTTTTCGGTAGTTAAAATATAATTAATGCATTTTATTGGGTCATAAAATAATTATTCGCAACATTAATTTGGTGCTAGAGAGTACTTGGGAAAGCTTAATAAAAAAAATTATATGTGGAACAGGAACAGGTCGACGTATATACATTATACGTCAGCTGGTTTGGGTTATGAACAATGAAAAAACCCACTGCCGAGATACTGGTCGACATGTGGGAAGCTACACGTCGACTGGTTTGGAACGTGCACGGTGAACTGGTCGACGTGTGGGAAGCTACACGTCGACTGGTTCACGCAACTCGGTCGACGTATGGAATTTTAAGTCGACTGGTTTGGGTCATCCTCACTCACTGTCACTGAGATACACCAACTTTGAAAGCCAATCACCCACACCACTACACTCACGTACATACGTAAATACATTTCAACATCCACAATAACAACAACTACAACGTTAACATAATTTACCACACAGTTACCAAAATACACTAAATTATTAAATGATGGTAAAACTTAATTACATTACCCCACTGGCCATGTACATGCTAAAATCCAAATATTTAACATGTTGCAAAAGTAATACATCCTAAGTCAACATCTTTACAAAATAAGTTCAAGCTCTACAAAAATACATGCAAAATGCTTCCAAAGTGCTCTCAAGCATGAGGTGGATTATCATCCGCCAACTCCTTGTCGTGACCTGAAAAAAAATTAAATATGGTGGGGTGAGCAATTTGCTCAGTAAGTGGCGCCTCAGACGCACCTCTTGAGTCCCCGTGAATCCAAAACAAAGAATAGAACCATGGAAATCGGGGTCATACAATGTCGGGAAATTACAACATGGTTTCCAAGCTCAACATAAATAATATGATGCAATGGGGATGCAATGCATACCGATGTCGCTCCCCATTTTTCACATTTAAAATCATCACTTCCAAACTGTTAATATAATCCGCCCTTTGGTGACCCCGCAGCAACATTATAGAAGGATTGGCTAGTGTCCCTGACCCTTGGTACTCTCGCGGCGTCATTATGGGGCCCAGCTAGCTCAATACGCTAGGGCGACTCCCTAGTTCCCTCTAGGCTGTATTAACACTCCGGCCCTTTGGTACCCCTGCGGCGACCAGGTTTTCTCAAAACCGATTCAAAACAATTTTCTCCCGAAAATCCCTTTTTTTTTTTTTTTTTTAACTTTATCCAAAACATTACCCATCATGAAACCCAATGACTTACATGCATGTCTCATATTTTTAATGCTTTAACAATAAGGGATTTTCACATGACACAATGAAGCATGCCTTCATCCGTCATTCATAGCATATAAACAACGTAATAAACATAGAAATTCATCATATAAGCATGCTTTCCACATAATACATTTAATACATGTCCTCACATAACCACATATACACAATTAAATCATTTTAAACTACAATTAGCACAAATAAGCATGTTAAGTCACAATTCAAGTAATTTGACTCACAAAAGTACAAGAGTATGCGGATTAGGAAGTCCCTACCTCAAGTTTGTGCAAAACCCTCAAAATGGTTTCCAAATTTCGAAATCCCTATGGAGGCCTTTTGCTGAAATTGTTGGTACTCACGCGTAGAGCTCGTCGTGCTCTCTGTTTTGCCTCAAACGGCACATAAAACTTCCAAGTAGAGAGAGAGGAATCAAATATCAAAGCTTGATACAAAATAGAGAAGAAAAAGCAAGGAACTAGAGAGAGAGAGGGAAACTTACAGGAGAGAGAGATAAGAGACCAAAAATGTGGTCTCTAGAAAATGAATGGGATAGTGGTGAATCCGGCCACCACTTTTATTTTTCTCTTTTTTTCTTTGCTTTAATTTACACCACATGAATACATGTAACACACCGTCATACAAATGATACATAGCTCATATAATTCAAAATGTAGGAAATGCAAATGGACTTAACTAAAATCCCGTATGAAAAACGTGAAAAGACAAAAATGCCCTCACGGCGATGTAATTTCTGAAAAATTGAAAAATGCTGAAAATCAGAAACATCACAATCTACCCTCCTTAAAAAGATTTCGTCCTCGAAATCTACCTTCCTTATGAAGAAGGCCAATAGCCACACACTCTCCAAGAACACCTTACAAACTCTGAGACTATGAACCCAACGACATTGTTGCCTTTAACACCGGACGTCGTCAGACAAGTACACACCACTGTCACCAAAACCCAAAACGGTACTCATTACTCACCTCGTCATAACATAAGACCGACCAGACCATACGCCTGACTCATAATGGACATCGATCCACTCAACATTGCCACAAAAGGCTCCCAGCTCAAAAGAAAAACAGTCACCAAATCACCAATTAAGACTACATCCAATCACAACTCATCATCTAAAGAACACACACACAAAACCATAAACAAGGAATCTAGTCCATCTCTCAATCAATTTCAACTCTAATATACACATCCCTGACAAATCAAATACTTACTATCAAATACCTAACTACATCATAACCTAATAGTACAAGCGACTACCAACTGCACCATTCGGCAATCATTACATTCAACAACCTTAAGATAATTAAACAATGAATCTCCTGACGACTACATAATCATGAGTCACCAAAATAATAAACGTATTATCCAGTGCCCAAGACACAAATTTTCGAAACAAGATCTTCAATAATCAATGATCGTATCACAAACCTTTTATCGGACACTTGGTGCCATCTAACATACCTCATCTCTTGAGACAAGCACTTGAATCCACACTATCACACTAGCTCAACCTGCGATATCGTACTCTCACTATTTATGACAACTCGAAACAATTATTGACCTTTGACCCGACAACATGCTAAAGAAGGATTGATTCAGGGGAAATGGTTGGCCAGGCCATTCTCATCATCGATCCAATCTCAACACAGACGTCATTCCTGTCCTCAGGTCTAAACCTCAAACACATCCCAATAAAGTTCTCAAAGCAATCACGAGATCCACTCTCTAATCAATCCGTTGCTCTACATAACCCCAGCAACCATACAATCATAAACCTATCCTCAGAACCCCAATCATTTCCCAATCACATAACTATAATAAACGCAAACAACACGGTACTAACTGTCTCAATCATCGACCAACATCAAAGCTCTCAAATCTTCTCATAATACCAATACCAGGTAAACCATTTCATAACATCATTCGATTTAATTCTGACCTCGTCAAAACATTCAACACAACCATCCCACACCCAAGATCTCAAAACCAAAATCAATCATTCTTATTACCCTCAATGGAATCCCATAATCATTCCCTAACTACAAAACATTCATCAATACCAACACCTGTCCTCAAGACATCGCTAGAATCAATCACCTATAAAAAACATCTGAATACATGAGTCACATCACATCACCTATTCATCCTCAACCTTTCATTCATTACAGTATCCTTGCCGCCACCGCAATTAACAAACATTAAAAACACAATCCCCATTCGGCAACCCGTGCCTCATATCCTACCAGTTAAAACCAATTTAAAAACAAACACCATAAAACTAAAGGCTATACCTCCCTCTGTGGAAGTAAGTCGACCCCTTCAATCAGAACCTCAATCAAGAACTCTACAGCATAACACCCACTCACAAATCCTTCCGTCCATGGACGCGCACAACTCTTAGACATAGCCAAGACCCACAACAAACAACGTTCTTGCCGAGACTAGAACAAACGGAAGGGTAATAGACCCCGCTCTCACAAGTGACCAACAACCCGCACCTTGTGAACTAGACACCATATCACACACTACTCACCAGTGGTCCAACCATGGACACCCAATCTCACCTGAGATGAAATGAACTCCTTATACCCAAGGAGAAGAACCAACTTGGAACGCATATGGAACCACAAACACCAATCTAGGCGACCTCTCCCATTACCGGACCGTCCTACACAATCAACACAAAAACCTCGCACACACTTCTCCGCAACACTTTGCCAACCAAAACTAACTAGACAAGAGCACCCACTTCCACGACACATTGACACTAGGAACCATCACTGCACGCTGGACACTGCGTCCCATCCTACCCAATAGTCTTCCAATGAGAAACTCTATGAAATACAACGACACATGATCACCTTCTCTACCCTTTGAAGTCGACACTGCCTCAATCACTGTACGCGCAAGACCCGTGACCTCAGTCACAATAACCCACTGACTCCTCAAGGAAAAGATGCCTACATGGCAACACCTATTTGTCTGGTTCTAAAGATTAAGCCGTCCACCATTACCTCGACTGATGCATAATCCCATCACATACCTATCAACACACAACAACACTCATAATTTTCATCCTACATTCGGACTATACCTCAATCCATTATACTCATTAATGTAGAACATCACGTCATAACACCTCAACCACCATTCTTTCCAAACCATAATCCAAACCTATCATCCCACCGGACTATCAAGCCATTACTAAGCGATTCCTCCTCAAGTATTCTTGAGAT